CTGGCCCCCCTCGCCATTGACGCGGGCGTGGTCGGAGTCACCACGGCAGACACCCGGCCCGGCAGCGGCCAGGTCTCGGCGCGACGGCCAGGCGGCCGCCGATCGGGAGCGAACAGAACACCACCGCTACCTGGGAGGCGGACTGCTGGCTACCGCGCTCGAGACTGGCGGGCGCTGGGGCTCGGAGTTCCGCCGCTTGGCCACGGCCGCGGCTCTTCAGCGCGGGGTCGCCGCCCAGCTGCTGGCGGGCGCGGCTAGCCTCCCGCGCCCTTGGAAGAGGCCCTGGGAGGCTTCCACCGTGGCCGCCCTCCCCTGTGCCCCTCGCCTCCGCCCCCCCGTCGCCCAGCTAATGAATCAACGTCTTTCACCGCGCCCCCCCTCCGCTCTCTGCGCTGCTTGCCTGCTCCCCCTCTCCGTCCTGTGCCCCTCGTCACTCCCCCCTCGTGTTTTCCTGTTTCTCCTGGCTCCGGGGTCCCCTTCGCTCCTCTCGCCCGTCCCCGTCCTCCGTCCAGTCCACCTCGCGCCCCCGCCTGCTTGTTGGGGGCCGGGCGCGGTGTTTAATTCATTGTTGCGTCAGTTGTAGACTCCGCTTGGCATCGCGGGCATGTTCTGGAGGTGGAGCCAGGCCGCATTGGCACGAGCCCCGCGTCATCGCCGGTCGGCGGGCCTCCTGTCCCCTAGCAGCGCTGTCCCGTGGCCAGCAGAGGGACGCTCTCTCCCCCTGGCGTTGCTTGCTGGCCCACCTCTGTCCTCACCTCTCCTTGGTCGAGGTGGAGGAGGAGGAGCAGGAGGAGGAGGAGGTGGAGGAAGAGGAGGAGGAGGAGGAGGAGGAGGAGGAGGAGGAGAGGGAGAAAATGAGGATAAGGAGGAGAAGGTTTCGTGGGGCCTTCTTTAGGTTTCCTGTGGGCCTTCTGAGAGTTTTCTGCAAGTTTCTTGGGGCTGTGTTGGCCACGAACAATGTTCCGGACGTTCCGGACATGCTCTGGACAAAAAGTTGTTCTGGAAAATTTGTTCCGGACATTTGTTCCGGACAACTGTAGGAATTGACGTCCTTGGGGGCCGCGCGAGCGCCCTCGGCCTGGAGCCACCATGGGAGCCTGTCGCGGCCCACAAACGTACGATTCGGGGCCCGCCGGCTCCGCATCATTTGAAATTACGTCCCTGGGCGGGGGTGGAAGCGGAGGAGGAGGACGAGGAGCGGGTTGAGGAGGAGGAGGAGGAGGAGGAGGAGGAGGAGGATGAAGAGGTCGAGGCGGAACGAGGAGGATCGAAGAGGTAGAGAGGATGGAGGGTGGGAGGGGGCGAGGGAGGGAGGGAGGGAGGGAGGAGGAGGAGGAGGACGAGGAGGAGGAGGACGAGGAGGAGTTGCTTTTGCTCAGTTGGGGCCTTCGGCCACAGCGGGGGGGAAGGACGAGGGGAGGAGGAGGCCCAATACAGCCCCAAAACGACCCCAAGAGCAGGCCCAAAGGGCAAAACCGAACAGACTTTCCGAGCCCTCGCCTCCAAGACGCTTCAGGAGGTCCCGAACAGCTTCCTCGAAGTCCCAAAGAGGCCCCAAGATGACCCCAAACGGACCCCAAAAGGCCCCCAGGAGGTCGGCAGGAGGGCCACAAACTGCGCCCCACAGGCCCACGGACGACTTCCGATTGGCTTCTCACCCACAACCCAAATGCTGAGCCAGAGGTGGCCCGATGTGGGCGTACTGCCTCATTCCAGGGGTCGGCGGACGTGGCGTAAACCTATAAAATGATTGCGCCCCAGGGCGCCAGAGTCGTCCCGAGCGGCCGCCAGAAGCCCGAGTTACGCCCCAAAAAGATCAAGGCTTCACATTGAAGTCAAACCTTGATGTGAAGCCTTGCGTTTTTCCACCCAGGGACCTCCATTTTAGTCCTCCCAGCGCCAGGGCGCTCGAAATCTGCGTCCCTGGGAGGCGGTGGGCGCGCAGATGGGGGAGAGCTCAGGGCCGCCGGGGGCCCTTCCCTGCAGCCCTCCCGCCGCCCAGGGACGTAGATTTCGGACGCTCAGGCGCCGCGGGGGGGCAACATCGACGTCCTCGGGCGGGGGAATCCTCCATGTGGTTGGTTTTTCTGGCGTTACCGTTTCGGGGG